ATCACGTCACACAAACAAGCAGAATCTACATGCAAGAATCGTCAATTGGTGAAGACAAATGCTGAGAGTGTCAGTCGACTCAGGTGAACGAGACTTACCCAGTGGTCGGCGTGTGGTTGTTCGCCTCCTCCTTCGTCGGTGTCGAGCCACCACTCTTCCGAACTTGTCCGTCACGTTGACGAATTCTTCTCCAGGTGTCGTGGTTTCGCCTGAAACAGAGAAGGAGAAGACTGAGTCCAATTGTCTGTCAGTGTAGTGTCACTCTCACTGCCTGTATACTTGTCACCACACGGTGGACACATCACTCAAACTCCACTATTCATCTTCACATACACTAACTACATTCACATAATGCACACGCACAGAAACACGCTCAGAAAGAAACAGACATTGAGTCACAGACACGCACACTCACACACACACACACACACTGAGACATATATTTTCTCTATATCACGTCACACAAACAAGCATAATCCACATGCGAGAATCGTCAATTGGTGAAGACAAATGCTGAGAGTGTCAGTCGACTCAGGTGAACGAGACTTACCCAGTGGTCGGCGTGTGGTTGTTCGCCTCCTCCTTCGTCGGTGTCGAGCCACCACTCTTCCGAACTTGTCCGTCACGTTGACGAATTCTTCTCCAGGTGTCGTGGTTTCGCCTGAAACAGAGAAGGAGAAGACTGAGTCCAATTGTCTGTCAGTGTAGTGTCACTCTCACTGCCTGTATACTTGTCACCACACGGTGGACACATCACTCAAACTCCACTATTCATCTTCACATACACTAACTACATGCACATAATGCACACGCACAGAAACACGCTCAGAAAGAAACAGACATTGAGTCACAGACACGCACACACACACACACACACTGAGACATATACTTTCTCTATATCACGTCACACAAACAAGCAGAATCCACATGCAAGAATCGTCAATTGGTGAAGACAAATGCTGAGAGTGTCAGTCGACTCAGGTGAACGAGACTTACCCAGTGGACGGCGTGTGGTTGTTCGCCTCCTCCTTCGTCGGTGTCGAGCCACCACTCTTCCGAACTTGTCCGTCACGTTGACGAATTCTTCTCCAGGTGTCGTGGTTTCGCCTGAAACAGAGAAGGAGAAGACTGAGTCCAATTGTCTGTCAGTGTAGTGTCACTCTCACTGCCTGTATACTTGTCACCACACGGTGGACACATCACTCAAACTCCACTATTCATCTTCACATACACTAACTACATTCACATAATGCACATGCACAGAAACACGCTCAGAAAGAAACAGACATTGAGTCACAGACACGCACACACACACTGAGACATATACTTTCTCTATATCACGTCACACAAACAAGCAGAATCCACATGCAAGAATCGTCAATTGGTGAAGACAAATGCTGAGAGTGTCAGTCGACTCAGGTGAACGAGACTTACCCAGTGGTCGGCGTGTGGTTGTTCGCCTCCTCCTTCGTCGGTGTCGAGCCACCACTCTTCCGAACTTGTCCGTCACGTTGACGAATTCTTCTCCAGGTGTCGTGGTTTCGCCTGAAACAGAGAAGGAGAAGACTGAGTCCAATTGTCTGTCAGTGTAGTGTCACTCTCACTGCCTGTATACTTGTCACCACACGGTGGACACATCACTCAAACTCCACTATTCATCTTCACATACACTAACTACATGCACATAATGCACACGCACAGAAACACGCTCAGAAAGAAACAGACATTGAGTCAGAGACACGCACACACACACACACACACACTGAGACATATACTTTCTCTATATCACGTCACACAAACAAGCAGAATCCACATGCGAGAATCGTCAATTGGTGAAGACAAATGCTGAGAGTGTCAGTCGACTCAGGTGAACGAGACTTACCCAGTGGTCGGCGTGTGGTTGTTCGCCTCCTCCTTCGTCGGTGTCGAGCCACCACTCTTCCGAACTTGTCCGTCACGTTGACGAATTCTTCTCCAGGTGTCGTGGTTTCGCCTGAAACAGAGAAGGAGAAGACTGAGTCCAATTGTCTGTCAGTGTAGTGTCACTCTCACTGCCTGTATACTTGTCACCACACGGTGGACACATCACTCAAACTCCACTATTCATCTTCACATACACTAACTACATGCACATAATGCACACGCACAGAAACACGCTCAGAAAGAAACAGACATTGAGTCACAGACACGCACACACACACACACACACTGAGACATATACTTTCTCTATATCACGTCACACAAACAAGCAGAATCCACATGCAAGAATCGTCAATTGGTGAAGACAAATGCTGAGAGTGTCTATCGACTCAGGTGAACGAGACTTACCCAGTGGTCGGCGTGTGGTTGTTCGCCTCCTCCTTCGTCGGTGTCGAGCCACCACTCTTCCGAACTTGTCCGTGACGTTGACGAATTCTTCTCCAGGTGTCGTGGTTTCGCCTGAAACAGAGAAGGAGAAGACTGAGTCCAATTGTCTGTCAGTGTAGTGTCACTCTCACTGCCTGTATACTTGTCACCACACGGTGGACACATCACTCAAACTCCACTATTCATCTTCACATACACTAACTACATGCACATAATGCACACGCACAGAAACACGCTTAGAAAGAAACAGACATTGAGTCACAGACAGGCACACACACACACACACACACTGAGACATATACTTTCTCTATATCACGTCACACAAACAAGCAGAATCCACATGCGAGAATCGTCAATTGGTGAAGACAAATGCTGAGAGTGTCAGTCGACTCAGGTGAACGAGACTTACCCAGTGGACGGCGTGTGGTTGTTCGCCTCCTCCTTCGTCGGTGTCGAGCCACCACTCTTCCGAACTTGTCCGTCACGTTGACGAATTCTTCTCCAGGTGTCGTGGTTTCGCCTGAAACAGAGAAGGAGAAGACTGAGTCCAATTGTCTGTCAGTGTAGTGTCACTCTCACTGCCTGTATACTTGTCACCACACGGTGGACACATCACTCAAACTCCACTATTCATCTTCACATACACTAACTACATGCACATAATGCACACGCACAGAAACACGCTCAGAAAGAAACAGACATTGAGTCACAGACACGCACACACACACACACACACTGAGACATATACTTTCTCTATATCACGTCACACAAACAAGCAGAATCCACATGCAAGAATCGTCAATTGGTGAAGACAAATGCTGAGAGTGTCAGTCGACTCAGGTGAACGAGACTTACCCAGTGGACGGCGTGTGGTTGTTCGCCTCCTCCTTCGTCGGTGTCGAGCCACCACTCTTCCGAACTTGTCCGTCACGTTGACGAATTCTTCTCCAGGTGTCGTGGTTTCGCCTGAAACAGAGAAGGAGAAGACTGAGTCCAATTGTCTGTCAGTGTAGTGTCACTCTCACTGCCTGTATACTTGTCACCACACGGTGGACACATCACTCAAACTCCACTATTCATCTTCACATACACTAACTACATGCACATAATGCACACGCACAGAAACACGCTCAGAAAGAAACAGACATTGAGTCAGAGACACGCACACACACACACACACACACTGAGACATATACTTTCTCTATATCACGTCACACAAACAAGCAGAATCCACATGCGAGAATCGTCAATTGGTGAAGACAAATGCTGAGAGTGTCAGTCGACTCAGGTGAACGAGACTTACCCAGTGGTCGGCGTGTGGTTGTTCGCCTCCTCCTTCGTCGGTGTCGAGCCACCACTCTTCCGAACTTGTCCGTCACGTTGACGAATTCTTCTCCAGGTGTCGTGGTTTCGCCTGAAACAGAGAAGGAGAAGACTGAGTCCAATTGTCTGTCAGTGTAGTGTCACTCTCACTGCCTGTATACTTGTCACCACACGGTGGACACATCACTCAAACTCCACTATTCATCTTCACATACACTAACTACATTCACATAATGCACAGGCACAGAAACACGCTCAGAAAGAAACAGACATTGAGTCACAGACACGCACACACACACACACTCTGAGACATATACTTTCTCTATATCACGTCACACAAACAAGCAGAATCCACATGCGAGAATCGTCAATTGGTGAAGACAAATGCTGAGAGTGTCAGTCGACTCAGGTGAACGAGACTTACCCAGTGGACGGCGTGTGGTTGTTCGCCTCCTCCTTCGTCGGTGTCGAGCCACCACTCTTCCGAACTTGTCCGTCACGTTGACGAATTCTTCTCCAGGTGTCGTGGTTTCGCCTGAAACAGAGAAGGAGAAGACTGAGTCAAATTGTCTGTCAGTGTAGTGTCACTCTCACTGCCTGTATACTTGTCACCACACGGTGGACACATCACTCAAACTCCACTATTCATCTTCACATACACTAACTACATTCACATAATGCACACGCACAGAAACACGCTCAGAAAGAAACAGACATTGAGTGACGGACACGCACACACACACAATGAGACATATACTTTCTCTATATCACGTCACACAAACAAGCAGAATCCACATGCGAGAATCGTCAATTGGTGAAGACAAATGCTGAGAGTGTCAGTCGACTCAGGTGAACGAGACTTACCCAGTGGACGGCGTGTGGTTGTTCGCCTCCTCCTTCGTCGGTGTCGAGCCACCACTCTTCCGAACTTGTCCGTCACGTTGACGAATTCTTCTCCAGGTGTCGTGGTTTCGCCTGAAACAGAGAAGGAGAAGACTGAGTCCAATTGTCTGTCAGTGTAGTGTCACTCTCACTGCCTGTATACTTGTCACCACACGGTGGACACATCACTCAAACTCCACTATTCATCTTCACATACACTAACTACATGCACATAATGCACAGGCACAGAAACACGCTCAGAAAGAAACAGACATTGAGTCACAGACACGCACACACACACACACACACTAAGACATATACTTTCTCTATATCACGTCACACAAACAAGCAGAATCCACATGCGAGAATCGTCAATTGGTGAAGACAAATGCTGAGAGTGTCAGTCGACTCAGGTGAACGAGACTTACCCAGTGGACGGCGTGTGGTTGTTCGCCTCCTCCTTCGTCGGTGTCGAGCCACCACTCTTCCGAACTTGTCCGTCACGTTGACGAATTCTTCTCCAGGTGTCGTGGTTTCGCCTGAAACACAGAAGGAGAAGACAGCGTCATTTTGACAGTCTCTATGTCTGTGGCTCATTGAATCTCTCTGTCAATCTTTTTGTTTGTGGCTTTTTGGGTCATTCTCTCATTCGCCTTTTTATCTTCATCTTTGTTAAATGTTTTCGGACTTCGTTTTTGTCTCACATGTTTCGGTTATTCATTCGAATTTTGTTGGCTTGTTGTGCCTTTGCCTTGAGTTTAATTTTTCTCGTCGCATTCTCAATTTAACTCTCGCCTTTGTGACTGCTGTCCATCAGAATGTATTGCGATGACATAGATTATATCTGTGCATAACTCTCAAATATTCAATCGACACGTGTCAAAATATATACGAACTTGGCTATGAGTAAATCCGAGAAATTAAATAGATCAATAACCTATACGTTATTCGGAAGCAACACACAAATTCAGTGTCAGAATTGTATGAATATTTCGCAAAATATCATCACAAGAATGGAGTGATAGTGATGATTGTAAACAATGACCTGTCAATTAAATCGGAACAAATAATCAGTTGAGAATTGTTCAGCTCTCAAGCACAAAGATTTAGAAGAATATATATGCAAGCGAGAGGAGCGAGAGCTAGACAGAGTGCATCAGTGATGTGACGCAGTGTCATCCTTGAATCCTGCAATCTCTCATCATGCGACCATGTCCGGTCGGCAACAGTCCGTCTTCGTCTCAATCATTTCAGCTCGTCACAAGTGGCTTGGTTCTACCAACACCATGGACGGTGGAGTATCACGTCGTTGTGTGTGTGTGCGTGTGTGTATGTGTGAAATTCGGAAGTGTATGCGCTGTGTTCTGTGAGTGTGACTGAGTTGCTGTCTGCTGATGTGTCTATGTTTGTGTGTTTGTCAGTGACAAAGACTGTGGACTGATTTGTCTGTGTGTTTGTTGACGGCGAATTGATTCGAGTGAGCGTGATGTGTGAGTACAGTGAGATGTGGTGTAGAGTGTTTGTCGAGGAGATGAAACACTGTGACGTGCAGAAGGGAGACTACACGGAGGATGATCCGCGTCAGGGGAATGAAATTGAGTCGAGAGAGTGATCAATGAGAGCTGATATGTTCAGGTGTGTAATGGATGTGGGGACTCACGTTTTGGTGACGTCGATCTGGTTCGTTTGTGTGATGGTTTTGTATGTCGTCGAGGTCGTCTCCTTCTCTTTCCGAACTTGTCAATGTAGTAGACGTAGAGATCGTGATCTTCGGGTGTAGTGGTGGACGGCTGTCTTCTGCCAGGCGTTGATTTGGGTTCTGAAACGGAGGAGAATGGGATAGATTGAGATTGATGTGATATGATGTGTGCAGGTGGATTGAGAGACGCTGACATTGTCAGTGTTTGAGTGTGTCTGTTGTGTGACAGTTTCAGTGTTATTGTGTTGGCGTTGTTGTTTGTGTGTGGTGTGTGCCTGACGGTGTGGTTGTGTCGTTGTTCAGAGAATGGGGGGGATAGTCCTCAGTCACCACTGACCTGTACTGTCATCGCGTGTCATCCATGCGTGCCAATATGAGGCAAAGTTTGATGCGGAATTTGAATAAATGGTGAAGTAATATGCGGAAACTTAGACGAACATCCATATCAAGGCGAGCATACGAGGAATGTTGAAAATTATTGGTAGAGCAGAAATCTTCACTTGCACATATATGGCATAAACACAAGAAGGAGTGAATCCCAGAAAAATATAACGAAAATGATGTTCCAAAAATGTAAGAAAAACATATGTGAAATCAAGCTCAGTAAATGCAGAAAAATCACACAAAAAAGATTCGAAATTGACAGACATGAATAGACTATTTACCCAGTGGACGGCGTGTGGTTGTTCGCCTCCTCCTTCGTCGGTGTCGAGCCACCACTCTTCCGAACTTGTCCGTCACGTTGACGAATTCTTCTCCAGGTGTCGTGGTTTCGCCTGAAACAGAGAAGGAGAAGACTGAGTCCAATTGTCTGTCAGTGTAGTGTCACTCTCACTGCCTGTATACTTGTCACCACACGGTGGAAACATCACTCAAACTCCACTATTCATCTTCACATACACTAACTACATGCACATAATGCACACGCACAGAAACACGCTCAGAAAGAAACAGACATTGAGTCACAGACACGCACACACACACAATGAGACATATACTTTCTCTATATCACGTCACACAAACAAGCAGAATCCACATGCGAGAATCGTCAATTGGTGAAGACAAATGCTGAGAGTGTCAGTCGACTCAGGTGAACGAGACTTACCCAGTGGTCGGCGTGTGGTTGTTCGCCTCCTCCTTCGTCGGTGTCGAGCCACCACTCTTCCGAACTTGTCCGTCACGTTGACGAATTCTTCTCCAGGTGTCGTGGTTTCGCCTGAAACACAGAAGGAGAAGACAGCGTCATTTTGACAGTCTCTATGTCTGTGGCTCATTGAATCTCTCTGTCAATCTTTTTGTTTGTGGCTTTTTGGGTCATTCTCTCATTCGCCTTTTTATCTTCATCTTTGTTAAATGTTTTCGCACTTCGTTTTTGTCTCACATGTTTCGGTTATTCATTCGAATTTTGTTGGCTTGTTGTGCCTTTGCTTTGAATTTAATTTTTCTCGTCGCATTCTCAATTTAACTCTCGCCTTTGTGACTGCTCTCCATCAGAATGTATTGCGATGACATAGATTATATCTGTGCATAACTCTCAAATATTCAATCGACACGTGTCAAAATATATACGAACTTGGCTATGAGTAAATCCGAGAAATTAAATAGATCAATAACCTATACGTTATTCGGAAGCAACACACAAATTCAGTGTCAGAATTGTATGAATATTTCGCAAAATATCATCACAAGAATGGAGTGATAGTGATGATTGTAAACAATGACCTGTCAATTAAATCGGAACAAATAATCAGTTGAGAATTGTTCAGCTCTCAAGCACAAAGATTTAGAAGAATATATATGCAAGCGAGAGGAGCGAGAGCTAGACAGAGTGCATCAGTGATGTGACGCAGTGTCATCCTTGAATCCTGCAATCTCTCATCATGCGACCATGTCCGGTCGGCAACAGTCCGTCTTCGTCTCAATCATTTCAGCTCGTCACAAGTGGCTTGGTTCTACCAACACCATGGACGGTGGAGTATCACGTCGTTGTGTGTGTGTGCGTGTGTGTATGTGTGAAATTCGGAAGTGTATGCGCTGTGTTCTGTGAGTGTGACTGAGTTGCTGTCTGCTGATGTGTCTATGTTTGTGTGTTTGTCAGTGACAAAGACTGTGGACTGATTTGTCTGTGTGTTTGTTGACGGCGAATTGATTCGAGTGAGCGTGATGTGTGAGTACAGTGAGATGTGGTGTAGAGTGTTTGTCGAGGAGATGAAACACTGTGACGTGCAGAAGGGAGACTACACGGAGGATGATCCGCGTCAGGGGAATGAAATTGAGTCGAGAGAGTGATCAATGAGAGCTGATATGTTCAGGTGTGTAATGGATGTGGGGACTCACGTTTTGGTGACGTCGATCTGGTTCGTTTGTGTGATGGTTTTGTATGTCGTCGAGGTCGTCTCCTTCTCTTTCCGAACTTGTCAATGTAGTAGACGTAGAGATCGTGATCTTCGGGTGTAGTGGTGGACGGCTGTCTTCTGCCAGGCGTTGATTTGGGTTCTGAAACGGAGGAGAATGGGATAGATTGAGATTGATGTGATATGATGTGTGCAGGTGGATTGAGAGACGCTGACATTGTCAGTGTTTGAGTGTGTCTGTTGTGTGACAGTTTCAGTGTTATTGTGTTGGCGTTGTTGTTTGTGTGTGGTGTGTGCCTGACGGTGTGGTTGTGTCGTTGTTCAGAGAATGGGGGGGATAGTCCTCAGTCACCACTGACCTGTACTGTCATCGCGTGTCATCCATGCGTGCCAATATGAGGCAAAGTTTGATGCGGAATTTGAATAAATGGTGAAGTAATATGCGGAAACTTAGACGAACATCCATATCAAGGCGAGCATACGAGGAATGTTGAAAATTATTGGTAGAGCAGAAATCTTCACTTGCACATATATGGCAAAAACACAAGAAGGAGTGAATCCCAGAAAAATACAACGAAAATGATGTTCCAAAAATGTAAGAAAAACATATGTGAAATCAAGCTCAGTAAATGCAGCAAAATCACACAAAAAAGATTCGAAATTGACAGACATGAATAGACTATTTACCCAGTGGACGGCGTGTGGTTGTTCGCCTCCTCCTTCGTCGGTGTCGAGCCACCACTCTTCCGAACTTGTCCGTCACGTTGACGAATTCTTCTCCAGGTGTCGTGGTTTCGCCTGAAACAGAGAAGGAGAAGACTGAGTCCAATTGTCTGTCAGTGTAGTGTCACTCTCACTGCCTGTATACTTGTCACCACACGGTGGACACATCACTCAAACTCCACTATTCATCTTCACATACACTACATGCACATAATGCACACGCACAGAAACACGCTCAGAAAGAAACAGACATTGAGTCACAGACACGCACACACACACACACACTAAGACATATACTTTCTCTATATCACGTCACACAAACAAGCAGAATCCACATGCGAGAATCGTCAATTGGTGAAGACAAATGCTGAGAGTGTCAGTCGACTCAGGTGAACGAGACTTACCCAGTGGTCGGCGTGTGGTTGTTCGCCTCCTCCTTCGTCGGTGTCGAGCCACCACTCTTCCGAACTTGTCCGTCACGTTGACGAATTCTTCTCCAGGTGTCGTGGTTTCGCCTGAAACAGAGAAGGAGAAGACTGAGTCCAATTGTCTGTCAGTGTAGTGTCACTCTCACTGCCTGTATACTTGTCACCACACGGTGGACACATCACTCAAACTCCACTATTCATCTTCACATACACTAACTACATGCACATAATGCACACGCACAGAAACACGCTCAGAAAGAAACAGACATTGAGTCAGAGACACGCACACACACACACACACACAACGGGGACATATACTTTCTCTATATCACGTCACACAAACAAGCAGAATCCACATGCAAGAATCGTCAATTGGTGAAGACAAATGCTGAGAGTGTCAGTCGACTCAGGTGAACGAGACTTACCCAGTGGTCGGCGTGTGGTTGTTCGCCTCCTCCTTCGTCGGTGTCGAGCCACCACTCTTCCGAACTTGTCCGTCACGTTGACGAATTCTTCTCCAGGTGTCGTGGTTTCGCCTGAAACAGAGAAGGAGAAGACTGAGTCCAATTGTCTGTCAGTGTAGTGTCACTCTCACTGCCTGTATACTTGTCACCACACGGTGGACACATCACTCAAACTCCACTATTCATCTTCACATACACTACATGCACATAATGCACACGCACAGAAACACGCTCAGAAAGAAACAGACATTGAGTCAGAGACACGCACACTCACACACACACACACTGAGACATATACTTTCTCTATATCACGTCACACAAACAAGCAGAATCCACATGCGAGAATCGTCAATTGGTGAAGACAAATGCTGAGAGTGTCAGTCGACTCAGGTGAACGAGACTTACCCAGTGGTCGGCGTGTGGTTGTTCGCCTCCTCCTTCGTCGGTGTCGAGCCACCACTCTTCCGAACTTGTCCGTCACGTTGACGAATTCTTCTCCAGGTGTCGTGGTTTCGCCTGAAACAGAGAAGGAGAAGACTGAGTCCAATTGTCTGTCAGTGTAGTGTCACTCTCACTGCCTGTATACTTGTCACCACACGGTGGACACATCACTCAAACTCCACTATTCATCTTCACATACACTACATGCACATAATGCACACGCACAGAAACACGCTCAGAAAGAAACAGACATTGAGTCACAGACACGCACACACACACACTGAGACATATACTTTCTCTATATCACGTCACACAAACAAGCAGAATCCACATGCGAGAATCGTCAATTGGTGAAGACAAATGCTGAGAGTGTCAGTCGACTCAGGTGAACGAGACTTACCCAGTGGTCGGCGTGTGGTTGTTCGCCTCCTCCTTCGTCGGTGTCGAGCCACCACTCTTCCGAACTTGTCCGTCACGTTGACGAATTCTTCTCCAGGTGTCGTGGTTTCGCCTGAAACAGAGAAGGAGAAGACTGAGTCCAATTGTCTGTCAGTGTAGTGTCACTCTCACTGCCTGTATACTTGTCACCACACGGTGGACACATCACTCAAACTCCACTATTCATCTTCACATACACTACATGCACATAATGCACACGCACAGAAACACGCTCAGAAAGAAACAGACATTGAGTCACAGACACGCACACACACACACACACACTAAGACATATACTTTCTCTATATCACGTCACACAAACAAGCAGAATCCACATGCGAGAATCGTCAATTGGTGAAGACAAATGCTGAGAGTGTCAGTCGACTCAGGTGAACGAGACTTACCCAGTGGTCGGCGTGTGGTTGTTCGCCTCCTCCTTCGTCGGTGTCGAGCCACCACTCTTCCGAACTTGTCCGTCACGTTGACGAATTCTTCTCCAGGTGTCGTGGTTTCGCCTGAAACAGAGAAGGAGAAGACTGAGTCCAATTGTCTGTCAGTGTAGTGTCACTCTCACTGCCTGTATACTTGTCACCACACGGTGGAAACATCACTCAAACTCCACTATTCATCTTCACATACACTACATGCACATAATGCACACGCACAGAAACACGCTCAGAAAGAAACAGACATTGAGTCACAGACACGCACACACACACTGAGACATATACTTTCTCTATATCACGTCACACAAACAAGCATAATCCACATGCGAGAATCGTCAATTGGTGAAGACAAATGCTGAGAGTGTCAGTCGACTCAGGTGAACGAGACTTACCCAGTGGTCGGCGTGTGGTTGTTCGCCTCCTCCTTCGTCGGTGTCGAGCCACCACTCTTCCGAACTTGTCCGTCACGTTGACGAATTCTTCTCCAGGTGTCGTGGTTTCGCCTGAAACAGAGAAGGAGAAGACTGAGTCCAATTGTCTGTCAGTGTAGTGTCACTCTCACTGCCTCCATACTTGTCACCACACGGTGGACACATCACTCAAACTCCACTATTCATCTTCACATACACTACATGCACATAATGCACACGCACAGAAACACGCTCAGAAAGAAACAGACATTGAGTCAGAGAGACGCACACTCACATACACACACACAATGAGACATATACTTTCTCTATATCACGTCACACAAACAAGCAGAATCCACATGCGAGAATCGTCAATTGGTGAAGACAAATGCTGAGAGTGTCAGTCGACTCAGGTGAACGAGACTTACCCAGTGGTCGGCGTGTGGTTGTTCGCCTCCTCCTTCGTCGGTGTCGAGCCACCACTCTTCCGAACTTGTCCGTCACGTTGACGAATTCTTCTCCAGGTGTCGTGGTTTCGCCTGAAACAGAGAAGGAGAAGACTGAGTCCAATTGTCTGTCAGTGTAGTGTCACTCTCACTGCCTGTATACTTGTCACCACACGGTGGACACATCACTCAAACTCCACTATTCATCTTCACATACACTAACTACATTCACATAATGCACATGCACAGAAACACGCTCAGAAAGAAACAGACATTGAGTCAGAGACACGCACAAACACACTGAGACATATACTTTCTCTATATCACGTCACACAAACAAGCAGAATCCACATGCAAGAATCGTCAATTGGTGAAGACAAATGCTGAGAGTGTCAGTCGACTCAGGTGAACGAGACTTACCCAGTGGTCGGCGTGTGGTTGTTCGCCTCCTCCTTCGTCGGTGTCGAGCCACCACTCTTCCGAACTTGTCCGTCACGTTGACGAATTCTTCTCCAGGTGTCGTGGTTTCGCCTGAAACAGAGAAGGAGAAGACTGAGTCCAATTGTCTGTCAGTGTAGTGTCACTCTCACTGCCTGTATACTTGTCACCACACGGTGGACACATCACTCAAACTCCACTATTCATCTTCACATACACTACATGCACATAATGCACACGCACAGAAACACGCTCAGAAAGAAACAGACATTGAGTCAGAGACACGCACACTCACACACACACACACACACACTGAGACATATACTTTCTCTATATCACGTCACACAAACAAGCATAATCCACATGCGAGAATCGTCAATTGGTGAAGACAAATGCTGAGAGTGTCAGTCGACTCAGGTGAACGAGACTTACCCAGTGGTCGGCGTGTGGTTGTTCGCCTCCTCCTTCGTCGGTGTCGAGCCACCACTCTTCCGAACTTGTCCGTCACGTTGACGAATTCTTCTCCAGGTGTCGTGGTTTCGCCTGAAACAGAGAAGGAGAAGACTGAGTCCAATTGTCTGTCAGTGTAGTGTCACTCTCACTGCCTGTATACTTGTCACCACACGGTGGACACATCACTCAAACTCCACTATTCATCTTCACATACACTACATGCACATAATGCACACGCACAGAAACACGCTCAGAAAGAAACAGACATTGAGTCACAGACACGCACACACACACACACACACTGAGACATATACTTTCTCTATATCACGTCACACAAACAAGCAGAATCCACATGCGAGAATCGTCAATTGGTGAAGACAAATGCTGAGAGTGTCAGTCGACTCAGGTGAACGAGACTTACCCAGTGGTCGGCGTGTGGTTGTTCGCCTCCTCCTTCGTCGGTGTCGAGCCACCACTCTTCCGAACTTGTCCGTCACGTTGACGAATTCTTCTCCAGGTGTCGTGGTTTCGCCTGAAACAGAGAAGGAGAAGACTGAGTCCAATTGTCTGTCAGTGTAGTGTCACTCTCACTGCCTGTATACTTGTCACCACACGGTGGACACATCACTCAAACTCCACTATTCATCTTCACATACACTAACTACATTCACATAATGCACACGCACAGAAACACGCTCAGAAAGAAACAGACATTGAGTCAGAGAGACGCACACTCACAAACACACACACACACACACACTGAGACATATACTTTCTCTATATCACGTCACACAAACAAGCAGAATCCACATGCGAGAATCGTCAATTGGTGAAGACAAATGCTGAGAGTGTCAGTCGACTCAGGTGAACGAGACTTACCCAGTGGTCGGCGTGTGGTTGTTCGCCTCCTCCTTCGTCGGTGTCGAGCCACCACTCTTCCGAACTTGTCCGTCACGTTGACGAATTCTTCTCCAGGTGTCGTGGTTTCGCCTGAAACAGAGAAGGAGAAGACTGAGTCCAATTGTCTGTCAGTGTAGTGTCACTCTCACTGCCTGTATACTTGTCACCACACGGTGGACACATCACTCAAACTCCACTATTCATCTTCACATACACTACATGCACATAATGCACACGCACAGAAACACGCTCAGAAAGAAACAGACATTGAGTCAGAGAGACGCACACTCACACACACACACACACACACTGAGACATATACTTTCTCTATATCACGTCACACAAACAAGCATAATCCACATGCGAGAATCGTCAATTGGTGAAGACAAATGCTGAGAGTGTCAGTCGACTCAGGTGAACGAGACTTACCCAGTGGTCGGCGTGTGGTTGTTCGCCTCCTCCTTCGTCGGTGTCGAGCCACCACTCTTCCGAACTTGTCCGTCACGTTGACGAATTCTTCTCCAGGTGTCGTGGTTTCGCCTGAAACAGAGAAGGAGAAGACTGAGTCCAATTGTCTGTCAGTGTAGTGTCACTCTCACTGCCTGTATACTTGTCACCACACGGTGGACACATCACTCAAACTCCACTATTCATCTTCACATACACTAACTACATTCACATAATGCACACGCACAGAAACACGCTCAGAAAGAAACAGACATTGAGTCACAGACACGCACACACACACACACACACACACACAACGGGGACATATAATTTCACTATATCACGTCACACAAACAAGCAGAATCCACATGCGAGAATCGTCAATTGGTGAAGACAAATGCTGAGAGTGTCAGTCGACTCAGGTGAACGAGACTTACCCAGTGGTCGGCGTGTGGTTGTTCGCCTCCTCCTTCGTCGGTGTCGAGCCACCACTCTTCCGAACTTGTCCGTCACGTTGACGAATTCTTCTCCAGGTGTCGTGGTTTCGCCTGAAACAGAGAAGGAGAAGACTGAGTCCAATTGTCTGTCAGTGTAGTGTCACTCTCACTGCCTGTATACTTGTCACCACACGGTGGACACATCACTCAAACTCCACTATTCATCTTCACATACACTACATGCACATAATGCACACGCACAGAAACACGCTCAGAAAGAAACAGACATTGAGTCAGAGACACGCACACACACACTTACACACACACACACTGAGACATATACTTTCTCTATATCACGTCACACAAACAAGCAGAATCCACATGCGAGAATCGTCAATTGGTGAAGACAAATGCTGAGAGTGTCAGTCGACTCAGGTGAACGAGACTTACCCAGTGGTCGGCGTGTGGTTGTTCGCCTCCTCCTTCGTCGGTGTCGAGCCACCACTCTTCCGAACTTGTCCGTCACGTTGACGAATTCTTCTCCAGGTGTCGTGGTTTCGCCTGAAACAGAGAAGGAGAAGACTGAGTCCAATTGTCTGTCAGTGTAGTGTCACTCTCACTGCCTGTATACTTGTCACCACACGGTGGACACATCACTCAAACTCCACTATTCATCTTCACATACACTACATGCACATAATGCACACGCACAGAAACACGCTCAGAAAGAAACAGACATTGAGTCACAGACACGCACACACACACACACACTGAGACATATACTTTCTCTATATCACGTCACACAAACAAGCAGAATCCACATGCGAGAATCGTCAATTGGTGAAGACAAATGCTGAGAGTGTCAGTCGACTCAGGTGAACGAGACTTACCCAGTGGTCGGCGTGTGGTTGTTCGCCTCCTCCTTCGTCGGTGTCGAGCCACCACTCTTCCGAACTTGTCCGTCACGTTGACGAATTCTTCTCCAGGTGTCGTGGTTTCGCCTGAAACAGAGAAGGAGAAGACTGAGTCCAATTGTCTGTCAGTGTAGTGTCACTCTCACTGCCTGTATACTTGTCACCACACGGTGGACACATCACTCAAACTCCACTATTCATCTTCACATACACTACATGCACATAATGCACACGCACAGAAACACGCTCAGAAAGAAACAGACATTGAGTCAGAGAGACGCACACTCACACACACACACACACACTCTGAGACATATACTTTCTCTATATCACGTCACACAAACAAGCAGAATCCACATGCGAGAATCGTCAATTGGTGAAGACAAATGCTGAGAGTGTCAGTCGACTCAGGTGAACGAGACTTACCCAGTGGTCGGCGTGTGGTTGTTCGCCTCCTCCTTCGTCGGTGTCGAGCCACCACTCTTCCGAACTTGTCCGTCACGTTGACGAATTCTTCTCCAGGTGTCGTGGTTTCGCCTGAAACAGAGAAGGAGAAGACTGAGTCCAATTGTCTGTCAGTGTAGTGTCACTCTCACTGCCTGTATACTTGTCACCACACGGTGGACACATCACTCAAACTCCACTATTCATCTTCACATACACTACATGCACATAATGCACACGCACAGAAACACGCTCAGAAAGAAACAGACATTGAGTCAGAGACACGCACACTCACACACACACACACTGAGACATATACTTTCTCTATATCACGTCACACAAACAAGCATAATCCACATGCGAGAATCGTCAATTGGTGAAGACAAATGCTGAGAGTGTCAGTCGACTCAGGTGAACGAGACTTACCCAGTGGTCGGCGTGTGGTTGTTCGCCTCCTCCTTCGTCGGTGTCGAGCCACCACTCTTCCGAACTTGTCCGTCACGCTGACGAATTCTTCTCCAGGTGTCGTGGTTTCGCCTGAAACAGAGAAGGAGAAGACTGAGTCCAATTGTCTGTCAGTGTAGTGTCACTCTCACTGCCTGTATACTTGTCACCACACGGTGGACACATCACTCAAACTCCACTATTCATCTTCACATACACTACATGCACATAATGCACACGCACAGAAACACGCTCAGAAAGAAACAGACATTGAGTCAGAGACACGCACACTCACACACACACACACTGAGACATATACTTTCTCTATATCACGTCACACAAACAAGCAGAATCCACATGCGAGAATCGTCAATTGGTGAAGACAAATGCTGAGAGTGTCAGTCGACTCAGGTGAACGAGACTTACCCAGTGGTCGGCGTGTGGTTGTTCGCCTCCTCCTTCGTCGGTGTCGAGCCACCACTCTTCCGAACTTGTCCGTCACGTTGACGAATTCTTCTCCAGGTGTCGTGGTTTCGCCTGAAACAGAGAAGGAGAAGACTGAGTCCAATTGTCTGTCAGTGTAGTGTCACTCTCACTGCCTGTATACTTGTCACCACACGGTGGACACATCACTCAAACTCCACTATTCATCTTCACATACACTACATGCACATAATGCACACGCACAGAAACACGCTCAGAAAGAAACAGACATTGAGTCACAGACACGCACACACACACACACACACACTCTGAGACATATACTTTCTCTATATCACGTCACACAAACAAGCAGAATCCACATGCGAGAATCGTCAATTGGTGAAGACAAATGCTGAGAGTGTCAGTCGACTCAGGTGAACGAGACTTACCCAGTGGTCGGCGTGTGGTTGTTCGCCTCCTCCTTCGTCGGTGTCGAGCCACCACTCTTCCGAACTTGTCCGTCACGTTGACGAATTCTTCTCCAGGTGTCGTGGTTTCGCCTGAAACAGAGAAGGAGAAGACTGAGTCCAATTGTCTGTCAGTGTAGTGTCACTCTCACTGCCCGTATACTTGTCACCACACGGTTGACACATCACTCAAACTCCACTATTCATCTTCACATACACTAACTACATTCACATAATGCACACGCACAGAAACACGCTCAGAAAGAAACAGACATTGAGTCACAGACACGCACACACACACACACACTCTGAGACATATACTTTCTCTATATCACGTCACACAAACAAGCAGAATCCACATGCGAGAATCGTCAATTGGTGAAGACAAATGCTGAGAGTGTCAGTCGACTCAGGTGAACGAGACTTACCCAGTGGTCGGCGTGTGGTTGTTCGCCTCCTCCTTCGTCGGTGTCGAGCCACCACTCTTCCGAACTTGTCCGTCACGTTGACGAATTCTTCTCCAGGTGTCGTGGTTTCGCCTGAAACAGAGAAGGAGAAGACTGAGTCCAATTGTCTGTCAGTGTAGTGTCACTCTCACTGCCTGTATACTTGTCACCACACGGTGGACACATCACTCAAACTCCACTATTCATCTTCACATACACTAACTACATTCACATAATGCACACGCACAGAAACACGCTCAGAAAGAAACAGACATTGAGTCACAGACACGCACACACAGTGACACGTATACTTTCTCTATATCACGTCACACAAACAAGCAGAATCCACATGCGAGAATCGTCAATTGGTGAAGACAAATGCTGAGAGTGTCAGTCGACTCAGGTGAACGAGACTTACCCAGTGGTCGGCGTGTGGTTGTTCGCCTCCTCCTTCGTCGGTGTCGAGCCACCACTCTTCCGAACTTGTCCGTCACGTTGACGAATTCTTCTCCAGGTGTCGTGGTTTCGCCTGAAACAGAGAAGGAGAAGACTGAGTCCAATTGTCTGTCAGTGTAGTGTCACTCTCACTGCCTGTATACTTGTCACCACACGGTTGACACATCACTCAAACTCCACTATTCATCTTCACATACACTAACTACATTCACATAATACACACGCACAGAAACACGCTCAGAAAGAAACAGACATTGAGTCACAGACACGCACACACACACACACACACACACACTGAGACATATACTTTCTCTATATCACGTCACACAAACAAGCAGAATCCACATGCGAGAATCGTCAATTGGTGAAGACAAATGCTGAGAGTGTCAGTCGACTCAGGTGAACGAGACTTACCCAGTGGTCGGCGTGTGGTTGTTCGCCTCCTCCTTCGTCGGTGTCGAGCCACCACTCTTCCGAACTTGTCCGTCACGTTGACGAATTCTTCTCCAGGTGTCGTGGTTTCGCCTGAAACAGAGAAGGAGAAGACTGAGTCCAATTGTCTGTCAGTGTAGTGTCACTCTCACTGCCTGTATACTTGTCACCACACGGTTGACACATCACTCAAACTCCACTATTCATCTTCACATACACTAACTACATGCACATAATGCACACGCACAGAAACACGCTCAGAAAGAAACAGACATTGAGTCACAGACACGCACACACACACACACACACACACACTCTGAGACATATAATTTCTCTATATCACGTCACACAAACAAGCAGAATCCACATGCGAGAATCGTCAATTGGTGAAGACAAATGCTGAGAGTGTCAGTCGACTCAGGTGAACGAGACTTACCCAGTGGTCGGCGTGTGGTTGTTCGCCTCCTCCTTCGTCGGTGTCGAGCCACCACTCTTCCGAACTTGTCCGTCACGTTGACGAATTCTTCTCCAGGTGTCGTGGTTTCGCCTGAAACAGAGAAGGAGAAGACTGAGTCCAATTGTCTGTCAGTGTAGTGTCACTCTCACTGCCTGTATACTTGTCACCACACGGTGGACACATCACTCAAACTCCACTATTCATCTTCACATACACTAACTACATGCACATAATGCACAGGCACAGAAACACGCTCAGAAAGAAACAGACATTGAGTCACAGACACACACGCACACACACTGAGACATATACTTTCTCTATATCACGTCACACAAACAAGCAGAATCCACATGCGAGAATCGTCAATTGGTGAAGACAAATGCTGAGAGTGTCAGTCGACTCAGGTGAACGAGACTTACCCAGTGGTCGGCGTGTGGTTGTTCGCCTCCTCCTTCGTCGGTGTCGAGCCACCACTCTTCCGAACTTGTCCGTCACGTTGACGAATTCTTCTCCAGGTGTCGTGGTTTCGCCTGAAACAGAGAAGGAGAAGACTGAGTCCAATTGTCTGTCAGTGTAGTGTCCCTCTCACTGCCTGTATACTTGTCACCACACGGTGGACACATCACTCAAACTCCACTATTCATCTTCACATACACTACATGCACATAATGCACACGCACAGAAACACGCTCAGAAAGAAACAGACATTGAGTCACAGACACGCACACACACACACACACACACTCTGAGACATATACTTTCTCTATATCACGTCACACAAACAAGCAGAATCCACATGCGAGAATCGTCAATTGGTGAAGACAAATGCTGAGAGTGTCAGTCGACTCAGGTGAACGAGACTTACCCAGTGGTCGGCGTGTGGTTGTTCGCCTCCTCCTTCGTCGGTGTCGAGCCACCACTCTTCCGAACTTGTCCGTCACGCTGACGAATTCTTCTCCAGGTGTCGTGGTTTCGCCTGAAACAGAGAAGGAGAAGACTGAGTCCAATTGTCTGTCAGTGTAGTGTCACTCTCACTGCCTGTATACTTGTCACCACACGGTGGACACATCACTCAAACTCCACTATTCATCTTCACATACACTACATGCACATAATGCACACGCACAGAAGGACGCTCCGAATCAATCTCTCAATCTGTTTGTGCTCTTTTCGTTCATTCTGTCATTCGACTTTTTATCTTCATCTTTGTTAAATTTTTTCAGACTTTGTTTTTGTCTCACATGTTTCGGTTATTCATTCGAATTTTGTTGGCTTGTTGTGCCTTTGCTTTGAATTTAATTTTTCTCGTCGCATTCTCAATTGAACTCTCGCCTTTGTGACTGCTGTCCATCAGAATGTATTGCGATGACATAGATTATATCTGTGCATAACTCTCAAATATTCAATCGACACGTGTCAAAATATATACGAACTTGGCTATGAGTAAATCCGAGAAATCAAATAGATCAATAACCTATACGTTATTCGGAAGCAACACACAAATTCAGTGTCAGAATTGTATGAATATTTCGCAAAATATCATCACAAGAATGGAGTGATAGTGATGATTGTAAACAATGACCTGTCAATTAAATCGGAACAAATAATCAGTTGAGAATTGTTCAGCTCTCAAGCACAAAGATTTAGAAGAATATATATGCAAGCGAGAGGAGCGAGAGCTAGACAGAGTGCATCAGTGATGTGACGCAGTGTCATCCTTGAATCCTGCAATCTCTCATCATGCGACCATGTCCGGTCGGCAACAGTCCGTCTTCGTCTCAATCATTTCAGCTCGTCACAAGTGGCTTGGTTCTACCAACACCATGGACGGTGGAGTATCACGTCGTTGTGTGTGTGCGTGTGTGTATGTGTGAAATTCGGAAGTGTATGCGCTGTCGTCTGTGAGTGTGACTGAGTTGTTGTCTGCTGATGTGTCTATGTTTGTGTGTTTGTCAGTGACAAAGACTGTGGACTGATTTGTCTGTGTGTTTGTTGACGGCGAATTGATTCGAGTGAGCGTGATGTGTGAGTACAGTGAGATGTGGAGTAGAGTGTTTGTCGAGGAGATGAAACACTGTGACGTGCAGAAGGGAGACTACACGGAGGATGATCCGCGTCAGGGGAATGAAATTGAGTCGAGAGAGTGATCAATGAGAGCTGATATGTTCAGGTGTGTAATGGATGTGGGGACTCACGTTTTGGTGACGTCGATCTGGTTCGTTTGTGTGATGGTTTTGTATGTCGTCGAGGTCGTCTCCTTCTCTTTCCGAACTTGTCAATGTAGTAGACGTAGAGATCGTGATCTTCGGGTGTAGTGGTGGACGGCTGTCTTCTGCCAGGCGTTGATTTGGGTTCTGAAACGGAGGAGAATGGGATAGATTGAGGTTGATGTGATATGATGTGTGCAGGTGGATTGAGAGACGCTGACAGTGTCAGTGTTTGAGTGTGTCTGTTGTGTGACAGTTTCGGTGTTATCGTGTTGGTGTTGTTGTTTGTGTGTGGTGTGTGCCTGACGGTGTGGTTGTGTCGTTGTTCAGAGAATGGAGGGGATAGTCCTCAGTCACCACTGACCTGTGCTGTCATCGCGTGTCATCCATGCGTGCCAATATGAGGCAAAGTTTGATGCTGAATTTGAATAAATGGTGAAGTAATATGCGGAAACTTAGACGAACATCCATATCAAGGCGAGCATACGAGGAATGTTGAAAATTATTGGTAGAGCAGAAATCTTCACTTGCACATATATGGCATGAATGCAAGAAGGAGCGAATCCCAGAAAAATTTAACGAAAATGATGTTCGAAAAATGCAGGAAAAAATATGTGAAATCAATATCAGTAAATGGAGTAAAAATCACACAAAAAGGATTCAAAATTGACAGACATGAATAGACTATTTACCCGGTGGTCGGCGTGTGGTTGTTCGCCTCCTCCTTCGTCGGTGTCGAGCCACCACTCTTCCGAACTTGTCCGTCACGTTGACGAATTCTTCTCCAGGTGTCGTGGTTTCGCCTGAAACAGAGAAGGAGAAGACTGAGTCCAATTGTCTGTCAGTGTAGTGTCACTCTCACTGCCTGTATACTTGTCACCACACGGTGGACACATCACTCAAACTCCACTATTCATCTTCACATACACTACATGCACATAATGCACACGCACAGAAGGACGCTCCGAATCAATCTCTCAATCTGTTTGTGCTCTTTTCGTTCATTCTGTCATTCGACTTTTTATCTTCATCTTTGTTAAATTTTTTCGGACTTTTTTTTTGTCTCACATGTTTCGGTTATTCATTCGAATTTTGTTGGCTTGTTGTGCCTTTGCTTTGAATTTAATTTTTCTCGTCGCATTCTCAATTGAACTCTCGCCTTTGTGACTGCTGTCCATCAGAATGTATTGCGATGACATAGATTATATCTGTGCATAACTCTCAAATATTCAATCGACACGTGTCAAAATATATACGAACTTGGCTATGAGTAAATCCGAGAAATCAAATAGATCAATAACCTATACGTTATTCGGAAGCAACACACAAATTCAGTGTCAGAATTGTATGAATATTTCGCAAAATATCATCACAAGAATGGAGTGATAGTGATGATTGTAAACAATGACCTGTCAATTAAATCGGAACAAATAATCAGTTGAGAATTGTTCAGCTCTCAAGCACAAAGATTTAGAAGAATATATATGCAAGCGAGAGGAGCGAGAGCTAGACAGAGTGCATCAGTGATGTGACGCAGTGTCATCCTTGAATCCTGCAATCTCTCATCATGCGACCATGTCCGGTCGGCAACAGTCCGTCTTCGTCTCAATCATTTCAGCTCGTCACAAGTGGCTTGGTTCTACCAACACCATGGACGGTGGAGTATCACGTCGTTGTGTGTGTGTGCGTGTGTGTATGTGTGAAATTCGGAAGTGTATGCGCTGTCGTCTGTGAGTGTGACTGAGTTGTTGTCTGCTGATGTGTCTATGTTTGTGTGTTTGTCAGTGACAAAGACTGTGGACTGATTTGTCTGTGTGTTTGTTGACGGCGAATTGATTCGAGTGAGCGTGATGTGTGAGTACAGTGAGATGTGGTGTAGAGTGTTTGTCGAGGAGATGAAACACTGTGACGTGCAGAAGGGAGACTACACGGAGGATGATCCGCGTCAGGGGAATGAAATTGAGTCGAGAGAGTGATCAATGAGAGCTGATATGTTCAGGTGTGTAATGGATGTGGGGACTCACGTTTTGGTGACGTCGATCTGGTTCGTTTGTGTGATGGTTTTGTATGTCGTCGAGGTCGTCTCCTTCTCTTTCCGAACTTGTCAATGTAGTAGACGTAGAGATCGTGATCTTCGGGTGTAGTGGTGGACGGCTGTCTTCTGCCAGGCGTTGATTTGGGTTCTGAAACGGAGGAGAATGGGATAGATTGAGGTTGATGTGATATGATGTGTGCAGGTGGATTGAGAGACGCTGACAGTGTCAGTGTTTGAGTGTGTCTGTTGTGTGACAGTTTCGGTGTTATCGTGTTGGTGTTGTTGTTTGTGTGTGGTGTGTGCCTGACGGTGTGGTTGTGTCGTTGTTCAGAGAATGGAGGGGATAGTCCTCAGTCACCACTGACCTGTACTGTCAACGCGTGTCATCCATGCGTGCCAATATGAGGCAAAGTTTGATGCTGAATTTGAATAAATGGTGAAGTAATATGCGGAAACTTAGACGAACATCCATATCAAGGCGAGCATACGAGGAATGTTGAAAATTATTGGTAGAGCAGAAATCTTCACTTGCACATATATGGCATGAATGCAAGAAGGAGCGAATCCCAGAAAAATTTAACGAAAATGATGTTCGAAAAATGCAGGAAAAAATATGTGAAATCAATATCAGTAAATGGAGTAAAAATCACACAAAAAGGATTCAAAATTGACAGACATGAATAGACTATTTACCCGGTGGTCGGCGTGTGGTTGTTCGCCTCCTCCTTCGTCGGTGTCGAGCCACCACTCTTCCGAACTTGTCCGTCACGTTGACGAATTCTTCTCCAGGTGTCGTGGTTTCGCCTGAAACAGAGAAGGAGAAGACTGAGTCCAATTGTCTGTCAGTGTAGTGTCACTCTCACTGCCTGTATACTTGTCACCACACGGTGGACACATCACTCAAACTCCACTATTCATCTTCACATACACTAACTACATGCACATAATGCACACGCACAGAAACACGCTCAGAAAGAAACAGACATTGAGTCAGAGACACGCACACACAGTGACACATATACTTTCTCTATATCACGTCACACAAACAAGCAGAATCCACATGCGAGAATCGTCAATTGGTGAAGACAAATGCTGAGAGTGTCAGTCGACTCAGGTGAACGAGACTTACCCAGTGGTCGGCGTGTGGTTGTTCGCCTCCTCCTTCGTCGGTGTCGAGCCACCACTCTTCCGAACTTGTCCGTCACGTTGACGAATTCTTCTCCAGGTGTCGTGGTTTCGCCTGAAACAGAGAAGGAGAAGACTGAGTCCAATTGTCTGTCAGTGTAGTGTCACTCTCACTGCCTGTATACTTGTCACCACACGGTGGACACATCACTCAAACTCCACTATTCATCTTCACATACACTACATGCACATAATGCACACGCACAGAAGGACGCTCCGAATCAATCTCTCAATCTGTTTGTGCTCTTTTCGTTCATTCTGTCATTCGACTTTTTATCTTCATCTTTGTTAAATTTTTTCGGACTTTTTTTTTGTCTCACATGTTTCGGTTATTCATTCGAATTTTGTTGGCTTGTTGTGCCTTTGCTTTGAATTTAATTTTTCTCGTCGCATTCTCAATTGAACTCTCGCCTTTGTGACTGCTGTCCATCAGAATGTATTGCGATGACATAGATTATATCTGTGCATAACTCTCAAATATTCAATCGACACGTGTCAAAATATATACGAACTTGGCTATGAGTAAATCCGAGAAATCAAATAGATCAATAACCTATACGTTATTCGGAAGCAACACACAAATTCAGTGTCAGAATTGTATGAATATTTCGCAAAATATCATCACAAGAATGGAGTGATAGTGATGATTGTAAACAATGACCTGTCAATTAAATCGGAACAAATAATCAGTTGAGAATTGTTCAGCTCTCAAGCACAAAGATTTAGAAGAATATATATGCAAGCGAGAGGAGCGAGAGCTAGACAGAGTGCATCAGTGATGTGACGCAGTGTCATCCTTGAATCCTGCAATCTCTCATCATGCGACCATGTCCGGTCGGCAACAGTCCGTCTTCGTCTCAATCATTTCAGCTCGTCACAAGTGGCTTGGTTCTACCAACACCATGGACGGTGGAGTATCACGTCGTTGTGTGTGTGTGCGTGTGTGTATGTGTGAAATTCGGAAGTGTATGCGCTGTCGTCTGTGAGTGTGACTGAGTTGTTGTCTGCTGATGTGTCTATGTTTGTGTGTTTGTCAGTGACAAAGACTGTGGACTGATTTGTCTGTGTGTTTGTTGACGGCGAATTGATTCGAGTGAGCGTGATGTGTGAGTACAGTGAGATGTGGAGTAGAGTGTTTGTCGAGGAGATGAAACACTGTGACGTGCAGAAGGGAGACTACACGGAGGATGATCCGCGTCAGGGGAATGAAATTGAGTCGAGAGAGTGATCAATGAGAGCTGATATGTTCAGGTGTGTAATGGATGTGGGGACTCACGTTTTGGTGACGTCGATCTGGTTCGTTTGTGTGATGGTTTTGTATGTCGTCGAGGTCGTCTCCTTCTCTTTCCGAACTTGTCAATGTAGTAGACGTAGAGATCGTGATCTTCGGGTGTAGTGGTGGACGGCTGTCTTCTGCCAGGCGTTGATTTGGGTTCTGAAACGGAGGAGAATGGGATAGATTGAGGTTGATGTGATATGATGTGTGCAGGTGGATTGAGAGACGCTGACAGTGTCAGTGTTTGAGTGTGTCTGTTGTGTGACAGTTTCGGTGTTATCGTGTTGGTGTTGTTGTTTGTGTGTGGTGTGTGCCTGACGGTGTGGTTGTGTCGTTGTTCAGAGAATGGAGGGGATAGTCCTCAGTCACCACTGACCTGTGCTGTCATCGCGTGTCATCCATGCGTGCCAATATGAGGCAAAGTTTGATGCTGAATTTGAATAAATGGTGAAGTAATATGCGGAAACTTAGACGAACATCCATATCAAGGCGAGCATACGAGGAATGTTGAAAATTATTGGTAGAGCAGAAATCTTCACTTGCAAATATATGGCATGAATGCAAGAAGGAGCGAATCCCAGAAAAATTTAACGAAAATGATGTTCGAAAAATGTAGGAAAAAATATGTGAAATCAATATCAGTAAATGGAGTAAACATCACACAAAAAGGATTCAAAATTGACAGACATGAATAGACTATTTACCCGGTGGTCGGCGTGTGGTTGTTCGCCTCCTCCTTCGTCGGTGTCGAGCCACCACTCTTCCGAACTTGTCCGTCACGTTGACGAATTCTTCTCCAGGTGTCGTGGTTTCGCCTGAAACAGAGAAGGAGAAGACTGAGTCCAATTGTCTGTCAGTGTAGTGTCACTCTCACTGCCTGTATACTTGTCACCACACGGTGGACACATCACTCAAACTCCACTATTCATCTTCACATACACTAACTACATGCACATAATGCACACGCACAGAAACACGCTCAGAAAGAAACAGACATTGAGTCACAGACACGCACACACACACACACACTCTGAGACATATACTTTCTCTATATCACGTCACACAAACAAGCAGAATCCACATGCGAGAATCGTCAATTGGTGAAGACAAATGCTGAGAGTGTCAGTCGACTCAGGTGAACGAGACTTACCCAGTGGTCGGCGTGCGGTTGTTCGCCTCCTCCTTCGTCGGTGTCGAGCCACCACTCTTCCGAACTTGTCCGTCACGTTGACGAATTCTTCTCCAGGTGTCGTGGTTTCGCCTGAAACAGAGAAGGAGAAGACTGAGTCCAATTGTCTGTCAGTGTAGTGTCACTCTCACTGCCTGTATACTTGTCACCACACGGTGGACACATCACTCAAACTCCACTATTCATCTTCACATACACTAACTACATGCACATAATGCACACGCACAGAAACACGCTAAGAAAGAAACAGACATTGAGTCACAGACACACACGCACACACACTGAGACATATACTTTCTCTATATCACGTCACACAAACAAGCAGAATCCACATGCGAGAATCGTCAATTGGTGAAGACAAATGCTGAGAGTGTCAGTCGACTCAGGTGAACGAGACTTACCCAGTGGTCGGCGTGTGGTTGTTCGCCTCCTCCTTCGTCGGTGTCGAGCCACCACTCTTCCGAACTTGTCCGTCACGTTGACGAATTCTTCTCCAGGTGTCGTGGTTTCGCCTGAAACAGAGAAGGAGAAGACTGAGTCCAATTGTCTGTCAGTGTAGTGTCACTCTCACTGCCTGTATACTTGTCACCACACGGTGGACACATCACTCAAACTCCACTATTCATCTTCACATACACTAACTACATGCACATAATGCACACGCACAGAAACACGCTCAGAAAGAAACAGACATTGAGTCACAGACACGCACACACACACACACACACTCTGAGACATATACTTTCTCTATATCACGTCACACAAACAAGCAGAATCCACATGCAAGAATCGTCAATTGGTGAAGACAAATGCTGAGAGTGTCAGTCGACTCAGGTGAACGAGACTTACCCAGTGGTCGGCGTGTGGTTGTTCGCCTCCTCCTTCGTCGGTGTCGAGCCACCACTCTTCCGAACTTGTCCGTCACGTTGACGAATTCTTCTCCAGGTGTCGTGGTTTCGCCTGAAACAGAGAAGGAGAAGACTGAGTCCAATTGTCTGTCAGTGTAGTGTCACTCTCACTGCCTGTATACTTGTCACCACACGGTGGACACATCACTCAAACTCCACTATTCATCTTCACATACACTAACTACATGCACATAATGCACACGCACAGAAACACGCTCAGAAAGAAACAGACATTGAGTCACAGACACACACACACACAATGAGACATATACTTTCTCTATATCACGTCACACAAACAAGCAGAATCCACATGCGAGAATCGTCAATTGGTGAAGACAAATGCTGAGAGTGTCAGTCGACTCAGGTGAACGAGACTTACCCAGTGGTCGGCGTGTGGTTGTTCGCCTCCTCCTTCGTCGGTGTCGAGCCACCACTCTTCCGAACTTGTCCGTCACGTTGACGAATTCTTCTCCAGGTGTCGTGGTTTCGCCTGAAACAGAGAAGGAGAAGACTGAGTCCAATTGTCTGTCAGTGTAGTGTCACTCTCACTGCCTGTATACTTGTCACCACACGGTGGACACATCACTCAAACTCCACTATTCATCTTCACATACACTAACTACATGCACATAATGCACACGCACAGAAACACGCTCAGAAAGAAACAGACATTGAGTCACAGACACGCACACACACACACACACACACTGAGACATATACTTTCTCTATATCACGTCACACAAACAAGCAGAATCCACATGCGAGAATCGTCAATTGGTGAAGACAAATGCTGAGAGTGTCAGTCGACTCAGGTGAACGAGACTTACCCAGTAGTCGGCGTGTGGTTGTTCGCCTCCTCCTTCGTCGGTGTCGAGCCACCACTCTTCCGAACTTGTCCGTCACGTTGACGAATTCTTCTCCAGGTGTCGTGGTTTCGCCTGAAACAGAGAAGGAGAAGACTGAGTCCAATTGTCTGTCAGTGTAGTGTCACTCTCACTGCCTGTATACTTGTCACCACACGGTGGACACATCACTCAAACTCCACTATTCATCTTCACATACACTAACTACATGCACATAATGCACACGCACAGAAACACGCTCAGAAAGAAACAGACATTGAGTCACAGACACGCACACACACACACACACACAACGGGGACATATCCTTTCTCTATATCACGTCACACAAACAAGCAGAATCTACATGCAAGAATCGTCAATTGGTGAAGACAAATGCTGAGAGTGTCAGTCGACTCAGGTGAACGAGACTTACCCAGTGGTCGGCGTGTGGTTGTTCGCCTCCTCCTTCGTCGGTGTCGAGCCACCACTCTTCCGAACTTGTCCGTCACGTTGACGAATTCTCCTCCAGGTGTCGTGGTTTCGCCTGAAACAGAGAAGGAGAAGACTGAGTCCAATTGTCTGTCAGTGTAGTGTCACTCTCACTGCCTGTATACTTGTCACCACACGGTGGACACATCACTCAAACTCCACTATTCATCTTCACATACACTAACTACATGCACATAATGCACACGCACAGAAACACGCTCAGAAAGAAACAGACATTGAGTCAGAGACACGCACACACACACACACACACTGAGACATATACTTTCTCTATATCACGTCACACAAACAAGCATAATCCACATGCAAGAATCGTCAATTGGTGAAGACAAATGCTGAGAGTGTCAGTCGACTCAGGTGAACGAGACTTACCCAGTGGTCGGCGTGTGGTTGTTCGCCTCCTCCTTCGTCGGTGTCGAGCCACCACTCTTCCGAACTTGTCCGTCACGTTGACGAATTCTTCTCCAGGTGTCGTGGTTTCGCCTGAAACAGAGAAGGAGAAGACTGAGTCCAATTGTCTGTCAGTGTAGTGTCACTCTCACTGCCTGTATACTTGTCACCACACGGTGGACACATCACTCAAACTCCACTATTCATCTTCACATACACTAACTACATGCACATAATGCACACGCACAGAAACACGCTCAGAAAGAAACAGACATTGAGTCACAGACACACACACACACAATGAGACATATACTTTCTCTATATCACGTCACACAAACAAGCAGAATCCACATGCGAGAATCGTCAATTGGTGAAGACAAATGCTGAGAGTGTCAGTCGACTCAGGTGAACGAGACTTACCCAGTGGTCGGCGTGTGGTTGTTCGCCTCCTCCTTCGTCGGTGTCGAGCCACCACTCTTCCGAACTTGTCCGTCACGTTGACGAATTCTTCTCCAGGTGTCGTGGTTTCGCCTGAAACAGAGAAGGAGAAGACTGAGTCCAATTGTCTGTCAGTGTAGTGTCACTCTCACTGCCTGTATACTTGTCACCACACGGTGGACACATCACTCAAACTCCACTATTCATCTTCACATACACTAACTACATGCACATAACGCACACGCACAGAAACACGCTCAGAAAGAAACAGACATTGAGTCACAGACACGCACACACACACACACACTGAGACATATACTTTCTCTATATCACGTCACACAAACAAGCAGAATCCACATGCGAGAATCGTCAATTGGTGAAGACAAATGCTGAGAGTGTCAGTCGACTCAGGTGAACGAGACTTACCCAGTGGTCGGCGTGTGGTTGTTCGCCTCCTCCTTCGTCGGTGTCGAGCCACCACTCTTCCGAACTTGTCCGTCACGTTGACGAATTCTTCTCCAGGTGTCGTGGTTTCGCCTGAAACAGAGAAGGAGAAGACTGAGTCCAATTGTCTGTCAGTGTAGTGTCACTCTCACTGCCTGTATACTTGTCACCACACGGTGGACACATCACTCAAACTCCACTATTCATCTTCACATACACTAACTACATGCACATAATGCACACGCACAGAAACACGCTCAGAAAGAAACAGACATTGAGTCACAGACACACACACACACAATGAGACATATACTTTCTCTATATCACGTCACACAAACAAGCAGAATCCACATGCGAGAATCGTCAATTGGTGAAGACAAATGCTGAGAGTGTCAGTCGACTCAGGTGAACGAGACTTACCCAGTGGTCGGCGTGTGGTT